AAACAATATTGAATGCAACAAGTAAAAGTGTGGTACAGACCTAGAAGGATTCCTATGTAGAAAAGAAGGTTTATAGTATTCTATATATTATGCGATTTTTTATTTTATTTTATAATATAACTATTGGAGTTTTAAGTAATATTCCATTATTTCAATAACGCCCATCGCGGCAAAACTCGCGATACCATCCACACCATCTGGTTGTTTGCCGGTTCACCACTGTACGTTTCACTAGGAGTTTTCTTCCGCGTGAGACCTCTCTGTGGAATAAGTTTACTACCGGTGATTTTTCCGGACCGATACGACTTCCTTTCTAAAGGGCCGAATTCCCGTGTGTTTGTATTGGTAGCATCCCTCTGTAGGAACATTCAAGAAAAGAGCTTAGTCTATCTTATAGGCTGACAACGGACGTGCATTTCGCCTGGCATTGCATTTGTTCATGGGCGGCGGTAGTCACTTACCATCAGGTGAGCCATATGGCTCGTTTCCCTCCTCTCTTATAAAAAAATACTCCTATTAAGGTGTTAAATATATTTTTGTGACATTACCAGACTTAGCCAGGGGTTGACTGGGAGAGAATGGGTACAGACATTAAGTACGCCCTTTGTAACCTTTTTGTTAAGGTTGAATGTAATTACAATAAAGTTTAAATAAATAACCGTAAAGTGGTAGTGTAATAACAACTCCATTTTATTTCGTGCACGACAGGACCACGACTACCCAATAACCCCTTATTGTCGTAAAAGGCAATGTAGCGAAACAAACCAGGAGAAAAGCAGCAATATCATCCTTAAAATAATAAAAATAATAAACTGCGGTTGTCAACTCGTCGGCCCAGCGTGCCAAATATGACAAACTTCATCGCCACAAGATAATCTATGGTGGAGACCTGTGTTGCAGTGAACTTTTCTAGGCTGTGACGGTAATAACGGTAAATAAAATTTATTTATTTACCGTTACCTTTGCAGTAACGCTTCAGAAACAATACTTTTTAATTTAAACAGGATCCATCGAAATTGACACATTAGAAATACCAGCGCATCTATAAAATATGGGAATTACTCTAGCGATTGCTATATCGATGATGGCGCAGTAGAATTGAGGGTATATCGAGAAACTCCCACTCGTTTGTGCAGTATAAAGTTCTCAGTTGGCACCGTGCGCCATGAATTTTGCCTAAATAATTCAACGAGTGCTGAGACTCGTAGAATGACAGTATCGTGGTTTTGTTCATTGTATTCATTCTTCTAGTGCAAGCAAGGACGATGGTGTTGCTGAAAGGCTGTACTGTGTTACAATGAAATGAGTAGTATCGCTTGCTGCTGGTTCAAATACTTTGTTTTTATCATGTAATTAACTCCCTCATGTTACACTACTGAGTAATTGTGACGAAGACATATCACGATATGGGCGAACTGTAATTGCTCTATACCGAATGACAGAATATTGGATGTATAGTGCAGTACGCTGTCTTATTGCTGATAGTGTTTAATTGTGTAAGCAGGAGAGCAAGTTGAACACCAGCTATTCTTCTCAGCTATTCATCACTATTATTTCTGACAATTAATTTCCTCAAGTACAGGATGAACCAACAGTCCGGTAACAATTGAATCGGTTGCTGCTTTAAATTGCTGGGAGTGGGGTAGAGGCGGGGCATTGAACATAAAGGGTTTTGAGAAATATTTTACCGATGTTCCTTTTTTGACAACAAAATCATTAAATGCTTATCCTACTATCGCCGAATTATTGTTTAAGCTTTATTTCTATATACCTGCTTAAAGAATATTTTAAAACTAATAATGTTAAGAAAACGGCAGACTAATGGGGGATTTCCATTAAAGTTATTGCATCCGTAATAGATACAACAGAACCTTATTTAGCCACCATTTTTAATCCGTGTTTCCTGAATTATTGAAACATAGTAAAGATATACCTTTATTAAAATCTGGTAGTACATCAGACTCCGCCAATTTTAGATCAATTTCTGTACTACCATGTTGAAGTAAAATTTTGAAAAAATTATTTTACATCAGATGATAAGTTTTTTAATAAAAATAAATTGCTCCATACGAGTCAATTTGGTTTCACAAGGGGTGGCTCGATAACCGATGCCGGAGTTGAGCTTATAAAACATATATTTTGTGTATGGGAAAATTTAGAGGATACTTTGGGTATATTTTGTGACCTTTCTAGGGCCTTCGACTGTGTTCACGATGAGACATTAATCAGGAAGCTACACTACTGTGGTGTTAAGAATACACCGCTTAAACTAATTATTTCATATTTGAGTAATAGAGTACAGAAAGTAGTTATTACTGGCAAAAGTTCTTCCGGATGGATCCTACAGATGGGTATCCCTTAGGGCTCAATTCTTGGCCCATTCCAATTTTAGTGTATATTAATGACTTACCTTCCCTAGTTGGGAATAATCACGATATATTATTATTTGCTGATGATACTTCCTTGATTTTTAAACTTAAGCGTCAATCATTTAAATGTAACGAAGTGAATAATACCATATCGAAATTAGTGCATAGGTTTAACATTAATAGTCTACATTTAAACGGTAATAAAACTAAATGTATTAAATTTACATCAACAAATGTTAATAATCCGAGTACCAATGTGTTTTAAATGGGGAAGAACTGAGTCCTGTTGAATCCTCTGTTTTTCTTGGCATCACTCTCGACGCTAAGCTTCAGTGGGGCTCCCATATATCTAAACTAGCAAGCAGACTAAGCTCTGCAGCTTATGCTGTAAAAAAATTAGAGATCTCACTAGTATCGAGACAGCTAGATAAGTTTATTTAAGTTATTTTTATAGCATAATGTCATATGGGATTTTGCTATGGGGGAGTGCTGCTGATTTAGAAACTATTTTTGTTTTGCAGAAGAGAGTCATTAGAGCTATTTATAAACCTTAAACCGAGAGAGTCTCTTAGAGAAAAATTTAAAGAAATAAATATATTAACTTTGGCCTCTCATCTATGAACATTTGATGTATGTTTACAAAAACAAAAATAGTTTTAGTAAAAAGTGACATACACTCTGTAAACACTAGGAACAAACACAACCAGTTTCTCGACTCCACAGAGTCGGTAATTTATTCTTGGGGCAAAGTATACGCTATTACAATAAAGTCCCAGAAAATATATAAGGTCTCTCTATTACCAAGTTTAAATATTTAATTAAACAAAAACTGTATAAAAAGGGTTATTATGATATAAATGAATACATGGTTATTATCAACCATTACCCCTCGGAATGAAGTGGTCGCTACCAAGGTGTTTCTAAAATAAATTTTGTAAATATTTTGTGACCATTGTAAAATTTATTTAAAAAAACTCGCGCTGGGTTTTTTGCTGGTTCTTCCCAGGACAGAGGTTTTTTTCGAACCAGTAGTAAAGTAAAAAATTGACTTTCAATAAGAATTACTTGTAATCTATATTGAATAAAAAATTATTCTATTCTATTACCAAACGCGAGAGCGGCTAATAGGAATTTAATAACATGGCGTCATTCACCAAAGCACAACGTGCGTTTTGTGTACGCAAGTACTATAGCAATAACGATTCCGCGACTGAAGCGCAACGAAAATACTTTCTTCGGTACTACATACGGAATAGAAATCAAGCTTCATCTATTTGTGTAGTTAAAAATTAGGTACCGAAGTTCAAAAAGACGGGGGCCTACATTAAATCAACCACGATCCGGCCGACCTAGGACGTCGCGTGAACCTGTAAACATAGAGCGCGTACGAACATCTGTTAGAGATCAACCTGGCCTATTTACTCGAATTCGGCTAATGACTACGCTCAGAGACTGCAGTTTGCTAACGAAATGCTTCAGAGGTTCCTCAATAACATCTTTTTCTCAGACGAGGCACATTTCTACTTAACTGGGCATGTCAATAGACAAAATCGCGGATACTGGAGTAATGTTAACCCATAATTGATGCACCAAAAGCCCTTACACTCGTCCAAAGTTACTGTATGGGCTTCTTTATCATCCAGCGGCATTATTGGTCCATATTTTTATGAAGATCAAAGAGGCCGCCCCGTTACCGTCAACACAGAGTGATACAATGCCATGCTACAGAACTTTGCAGGACTACTCAGGTTTTAATCAACGATTATGGTTTAAACAAGATGAAGCCACATGCCACACCTCCGACGACTGCAGTTCGCGAAATTTTTGGCCAAAAAGTCATATCCAAAAGAGGTTACAATTACTGCCCACCCCGCAACCCGTATTTGTCAGCAATGGACTTTCCTTTGGGGCTACCTTAAAAGTTAAGTTTTTAATAACAACCCATCGTCTATTGAAAATTTAAAAGAAAATATATGCGAGGAAATTCATAACATTTCTCTAAACACTTGTTGGGCGGTGATGGAAAATTTCCGCTCTAGGTTACAGGTATACCAAAATAATCAAGGATCACATTTGTATGACGTTATTTAAAAATAATAAAAGCCCAATTTCTGTACTTTCATAATAAATAAACTATTCTTCTCTCGTGTCTACTTTTGTATTTTTTTGACCATTTGAAATGTTACCGGACTTTTGGCCCACCCGGTATTTCCGATACACTTGGAGGCGCGTCTATAAAATACCGATGGATCTCGAGACCACTTGGAATTGAGGGTATATCGAGAAACCATTCCACTCATTTGTGCAGTAAAAAGTTCAGTCTAGGTGCAGAGTACGAGAGATTTTGCTTGAGTCATTTTATTAGTGAAGTTATTTTTTCTTATTTTATAGTCAAATTATAATTACTCTATACTGAATGCATAGTGTGTAACGCTGTCCTATTATTGATAATGATTAATTGCGCAAGCTCTCACACATTTACCATTTTTGATAATTAACGCTATCCCGTTACTTCCTACAGCATTGGCCTTATCATGTTATACTTTACGAGATACTTAAGTTTGAAAACAATAACAACCACAACAACAATCTACAAACGTAGGAGCACCGGAGTTGTTAAAAATAATTTACCTGGTAGAAATAAAACTTGTTAATGAGTGTTCCATTCCTTGTAGAGTTTGTCTCGAAAGTGCTATTTACATCTAAGAACAGACTACAATTATAACACTCTACTTCTTCCATGACCGTGGGCTTCACATTTTGTCTTCGATGTGTCTGTGAACAAAATTTAAATATATAATACACAATGGATAAATTTAAAAATATTTTGTGATTTTTATCGGTTGGATCAAATGTGTGGTAATGGAGTGGGTACACCGGACATTAACTTTACGGAAATTACATACAATTTAAAACATTCTGTAAATGTTTATAGGTATCCTAAATATTCATTTATTGTTTAACTAAACAACGCCACCAATGAAAATCTGCAATACCAGAAGTAGGTGTATTGATGGCCTTTTAAAAAAGGAATAGTTATTTTTCTTGAAGGTCCCTAAATCTTATTTATTTTTTTCGTAATAGTTCTAATTTATAAAGTGGTAAAACTCTACAAAAAATATGTTCTCGATTAAGAATCTAAATATAGTTGAGTTGAAAACCCTGCATAGTAAGATGACCCTTTCTTATTGGGTATGTCATTTTCAGTAAGAAAGGGTCTCCGGCTCTCTAAACTCTATGAAACGCAGGAGCATTACGAATCTACGCTATTTGATATGCTAATATACAGGAAAGTATGTATAACTTATGAATAATTGATGATACGTGTACTAATTACAGTTAGCCACACAAGTTGCTTTTCTTATTTTTAGCTGTGAAAAGTGAAATGTGTTATAAAGATACGGTGGAGTTTGTTATTATTGTAATAAGTCACTTCCCATCAGATAAGAAGCAAGCTGGTTAGCTCTCTCTTCTTTTTCCTTTACTTAAAGAAAAACATTCTTTAAATGGTATTTCAAACAAGAATTGTTAGTTTTTTACTACTCCTACAAAACAAATTTACTTATTTAACTCCGTAGTTTTAGAGAGAAAAACTAGGCGAGAGAAAACTGTCACTGATTCCTTTGAATAGCACTTAAATAAATACCTACATTGTGTATCTAGGTTATTTCTAAAATAAAGTGGCTGAATAGAAAGAAACATCACCTAAAACAATTTAAGTAAAAGCATTATCAGGTTAAGTAAATAAATTTAAAAAATATTATAAGCTAATGGCTAACTAATCAATAATATAATCTTGCAAGATTTTGTTTTTAAATACTGTGCTTAATAATAAATGTTGCATAATAGGAATACTACATAAGTATAGTGATTAATACCACGTACTTTCTAGTAAACTCATTTAATGTTGACAAGGTGATAACTACAATCATATACCAATAAATCAAGGAACAAATAATTGAAAAGAAATCATCAATGATTGAGGTAATCATAGGCCTTCAATACCATCATACAGACAACTTGTCACCATCACCTCTCGTCAGCTTAAACAGCCCAACCAAGTTTAAAACATAATATACGTTAACATAATATTTGTTAAGAGACTGGTAAAAAGCATGATCGGCACTTAAATCATTTCTCTTTCAGTGTGCTTTATTGGTTTGACATTATATTTTTTATATAATAATGCGTGACAGACTAGCACACAGTCCACCTGATGGTAATTAGAAGCCTACAGAGGTGTACATTTATACTCGATTAATAAAAAAAATGTAGAGTGCCTTGTCACCCCTGCGAACTATGAAGGAATGTCTGGTTTCCAGTAAAACGTGATCTCTGGTTTCCTACACTCACTGCAAGAAACACAGTAGCATTAATCAGATATTTCGCGCTGGTATTCTTTGAAAGCAGAGGTTATTCTCCGGTCTAGCCGACCCATTCATGCCACAACCATAACACGTTACAGTGTGGCTCTGCCACATATAACGTATAATATAATAAATGGCAGGTACTCACTGCGCTTACCGGTATTGCCACTTAAGAAGCTTATTTTATAACGGTTGTTAATTCTACGTTGTCTTATCAGGCACAGAGTTAATTAAAAGGGTATTTTTAGGTAAACTCGAGGTAAAATTAAGTAAAACTATTACTTTAACCTATCTCCATCACGCTGTACACTTTAGTATGTCTGCATGATTAACGTTCATATTATCCGGACATCGAATATAATGAAACTGCTCTACCTACTCAGGGTTATTCTCGAAGTTAGTTTATTCCCTCGCGGGCTTTTTAATAAAGAGATGGAAATTTTGTTCCATTGACTCGGCTACCGATCTAATCAGATCATACAATACCTACCTTACGTCGGCTCCGGTACGGGTCGAATTAGATCAGGTCGGATCAGAAGTACTGCCTTATGAAAAAACTATTTTTTCCTTTAAAACAAAACCAAAGACAATATGCAATAGATAATAGTATCAAAGACAAAGATATGGTCTTTTATTTTAAACCATAACCTGGCAATGTTTCTTAGAAAAAAAAAAGAAAAAAGAAATCACTCTGAACTTTCGGCGTTCCACGTGTCGTTTTGATGAAGGTGCTCCGTCTTTTTTATAGAATTTTATATTTGTGTCTGGACTAAAAACGAAAGTATTATATTTTTTTATATTCCTTGTAATATTGTGAACACGTTGATATATAATTTGTGGTATAAAAAGTGAAAAGTAAATTGCCAAAAGTACTTCAAAATCTGGAAGACCCATTTTGGCGGTTGGGTAATAAATGTGTTATTTTTCAAATTCTCATTTATTTTTAGTGTAAAATGTAAGTAAAAATAGTTTTCTTACATATTTAAAATAACTTGACGTTGTATTTATTTCAAATTCACACATAATTATTTTTGAAATATTGTTCTAAATGTCACACAGATAAAATATTATTATTGTTTTTTTTTTTAATATTTTAATATTTTGGTATGAGTAACGAATGGAAACATATAAAACATAAAAATATACATATTTCCAAACATTTTCATATAAATTTCTCCAAAAACAAAAGTGTAGAATTCAAATTAGTAGTAATTTTGTCACTAAGTAGTGTCACTAAGTATATGCTACTACTATGCTATACAGGGTAATTTATGTATTTTATTACAATTTCTAGCAACCAAAAATAACTTTATTCGATAGTTTATACATTCAACAAGAAATCCTGTAAGTTTTATCCATAAATATTGTCTCAAAGTGAAAATATAGCAAAATTTGCAGTATAGCAAAAATTTTTCTAACTTACAAATTTTCCCGCCATTAAGGTCCCGAGCGAACGGGAGTATAACATGTCGCGCGCTGTCAGAGCATGGGAGTTAATACACGTTAAGATATTTCCAATCCCGCCAAATACATTCAAAATTAAAATATTACCAACTTGAACCTTAGCTTTAAATACCTTATCGTTATAATTGGATCTTAAACGTCCACTGCGGAATGGGCTTCTCCCATTATAGGGAGACAGATTTTTCTGGTGATTTCCATAGTCGACTCTAATTGTTTTTACGGGACAAAATTAAGTGATGGATTTTCTTATGCCGCCGCCATCAAATGGCCAAATATATTGAGTAACTAAACTATATTTACGAAGACATTTTTAAAAGTGATGGGCTTAATATTTTATATATTAAGACTTTATTAAATTAATTTTATGGCTTTTTTGCGTTTACTTATTTCGAATTCTCGACATTTCGAGTGCTTTACATCGCTATGGTCACAGTGAACTAAAGAGGACACGGTAATACTATTCACTACTATTATTTGTTACTGATGATAATATCAATAACTATTACTCCAAAACGGATTCTCGGTGATATAGTGCATTTGTTTTTCAATATAATACACTCTTATATACTCGGCGGCTATCTCACACGCAGGTGCTATTCTGCGTCTTCCTTTATTGACTAGTACGTTTAGTGTTTCCCCGTCGAATAAGTTAATAAAACGCGTCAACCGTCATCATTATCATCACAGCCAAGTCCATATAGACATCCCTCAACGATTTATTCATAGAGGGAATTTGCCATAGTTGCCACGCTAGACAGACGGGTTGGCAATCGCAGTTTTTTTTTAATTTGAGCTATAATCAGGAAGATGCTGCTGCGCATCTCCTGTTCCATTTCCCTCTATCACCTTTAATGACACTTATTTATTTATTTATTCTTAATTCTTACACGTTATAACTAAGGTAACCATGGGCGGACTAAAAGCCTCTCGAAGTTCTCTGCCAGTCAACCCGTAGCTATTATGGCAGTTGTAAACTTGATTTTTGATCTTTGCAAAAAAAATTAAATAGGTACCAAGCTCTATTTGCACTCCCGTTACACAATCCATACACGAAATGGATGTCAGCGATATGCTGGCTTGAGTACTCGTTCATTGTAATAAACAAAAAGTAACAGTTCAACAACAAAACAAAAACGTAACAAAGTCTAACAACAAACAATAATTATGTACAGTAAGTAGATTTACTTAAAACCAGGAATGTTATCACAACGCAGAGCGAGGGACGACTGCTCGACGGCACAAGCGCACACTGCACCCTTTTTACCTGGAGACAGCCGTTATTCTGTCTCGCTCGCACTGTTGTGCACAGCGTTTTTTACCTGCTCACACAAATGAAGCTATTGTTCTTGCTTACGATTGCTTGAATTATTGAAGAATTTTATCTTACTCACTGGAATGGGTGTTTAGTTATCTAATATCGGGGTATAGGCACTTTGAACAGTTACATTCAAATTATCATAGCTCCTAAACTATCTAACTAAGAGTTATGATTTAAATGTGCATTTATAGCAAATATCCTGTATTATAATAAAGACAAGTAAAAAAATTGGTTAACACGATGGTTTTTTTTAAAGCTAAGAATCTGAAAAATAACATCAATTTGTTGTCTAATTTATTTTTTCAAAAATGTTTTTTACTAATACTGAAAAATTAAAAAATAATATTTTGAATCTAGATTTATTGTCTACATTATTAACTAACATTTGAGACCAATTTTGTTTTTGAAAGTCTTCTACTTGGGTAGATATTGTTAAATTAATACAAGCATCTATGCTTCGCCAACAATTTTTGTTAAAGTGCTGCCATTTTTTTATTGATGGCGAAAAAAATCATTGATCCCTGATTTGTCGATAAAATTAATTGTATTTTAACCCCTTAAAGTATCGGATATCGGAAACCGGACACCCTGATGTATATGTATGTTAGGTATAAACATATACCTAACATAAATATACATAGATACCATAATTATACAACTAACATAACAAGAAAATATTCTTATTATGAAACTATATCTTGTTTCAAGAGGTGTTCACGAAGTAATCTCTTGAACGAGCACTTGCTTGGAGCGTTTCGTATGTCTTCGGGTAAGGATTTCCAGAGTAGAATAGTAAAGGATTTCCTGGAGAATTTAGTGAAATGAGTTTTTAGATAGGGTGACAAACGAGCACACAGTCCACCTGATGGTAAGTGGTTGCTGTGGCCCATAGACATCTACATCTATCCTCGATTACGAATCAAAATGCAGATGCGTTGTCACCCGTGAGGACTAAGATGAAATGCCTCGTTTCCAGTAAAAAGGGTCTCCGGTTCTCTACACTCACCATACGAAATACAGCAGCATCAAGCTACTATTTCACGCTGGTATTCTGTGAGAGCGTGGTCCTTCCCCGGTCGAGCCGACCCATTCGTGCTACAACTATACTACTAATATAACTGCAGCATGGCTCTACCACGTAAAAGTTGAACACTAATAGACTATATGAATAGACGAGGACTATAGAACTCTGTCATGAGTTGAAAAAAGAAATTGAAATCTTTCCACCTGTAAGCTCTGACAGCGCGCGACATGTTATAATCCCGTTCGCTCGGGACCGTAATGGCGGCAAAATTTGAAAATTAGCAAATTTTTTGCTATATTGCAAATTTTGCTATATTTTCACTTTGAGACAATATTTATGGATAAAACTTACAGGAATTCTTGTTGAATGTATAAACTATCGAATAAAATTATTTTTGGTTGCTAGAAATTGTAATAAAATACGTAAATTACCCTGTATAGCTGTATAGTGGTATATACTTCAATTTTAATGACAAAATTACTACTAATTTGAATTCTACACTTTTGTTTTTAGAGAAATTTATATGAAAATGTTTGGAAATATGTATATTTTTATGTTTTATATGTTTCCATTCGTTACTCATACCAAAATATTAAAATATAAAGAAATTAAAAAAAATTAAATAAAAATATTTTATCTGTGTGACATTTAGAACAATATTTCTAAAATAGTTTTGTGTGAATTTGAAATAAATACAACGTCAAGTTATTTGAAATATGTAAGAAAACTATTTTTACTTACATTTTACACTAAAAATAAATGAGAATGTGAAAAATACCACATTTATGACCCAGCCGCCATAATGGGCCTTCCAGATTTTGAAGCACTTTTGGCAATTTACTTTTCACTTTTTATACCACAAATTATATATATATATATATATATATATATATATATATATATATATATATATATGTGTTCACTATATTACAAGGAATATAAAAAAGTATAATACTTTCGTTTTTAGTCCAGACACAAATATAAAATTCTATAAAAAAGACGGAGCACCTTCATCAAAACGGCACGTGGAACGCCGAAAGTTCAGAGTGATTTCTTTTTTTTTTTCTAAGAAACATTGCCAGGTTATGGTTTAAAATAAAAGAGCATATCTTTGTCTTTGATACTATTATCTATTGCATAGTGTCTTTGGTTTTGTTTAAAACGAAAAAATAGTTTTTTCATAGGTACACATGTTTACATAATTCTGATCAAATTAGATCACTGCTTGGCGGACGTACGGTAGGTATTGTACGATCGAAAGTGCGCATGGCTTGGCTTACAGATATAAAAAAGAGGCTGAATTGTTTAATATAGAAAAGAGAATAAGCAGACTTCTAGAGTTGCGTCTCCGTTTGACTGTGAGCCATTTTAGGCGATTATGATAAATTGAAATATGATCATACTTTCGAAGCCCATATACGTATCTAATTCAATTATTAAGGAGACGCTCTAGCTTGTTGAGATAATATTTGTCCAAATCGGAGTAACAAACATCTGCATAATTAATAATTGGCAAAACAAGTGACTACACAAGCATGATCTTTGTGTTTACAGGTAGAACATTTTTTAGACAATAGAGAGATTGTAAGGTGGTAAAGACTTTGCGATTGATTTCAGTGACATGTGTGTCCCATTTCAATGTACTGTCCGCGTACAGACCTAGATTTTTTACGGAGCTCGTAAAGGGTATCAAGATGTCATTGTAATAGACCGAAGGCAGATTTGATAGGCATATCTTCGACAATATTCTCGAGCTACCCACTACTATTGTTTGACATTTTTTTGGGTTGACAGAAACACCAAAGCGCCTAAACCAATCACTTACAGCATTTAAGTTCTTATTTAAGTTCGCAGTAGCGTTATGTAGTTCATCAATAGTAGACTGCACGTACATTTGTAGGTCGCCAGCATACAGATGGTACGAACGGTTGAAATTAGAAGTGGTGAGTTTATAAAAACTTCATCACTTCTAATTTCACCCGATGGTGTTGTGTTCAAAACATCATTTAACTCAACTTATTTTGAAGCTAAACATAAAGAATTATTTCATGCTGTCTCTCAATTAATATTATCTAATGTTAGACAAAATATTTGGCCTCTAGGGGGAAGGAATTTATCAGAATCAATAGTTCGTGCTTGTATTCGATGTAAAAGATTTAATGCTAGACCAGTACAACCCATCATGGGTTACCTGTTGAAAGAACGTGTGTCGAATTTCCTTGTTTCAACACAGGTGTCGACTTTACACCTGTGGACCTATCCTGACAGCTGACTGCAAGGGACGCGGTTGTCGTTAACAAAAGGCCTATATTTGCGTTTTTATCTGTTTCGCATGTAGGGGGGGTATATACATCTAAGATAAAAATAGTTAAAAAGACGTAAGTTTATTTAACGAAAGTTTATATTACAACTCGATACAAAGTATTTGCAGCAGGTGAACGCTACAAATTCTTTCACATAAGCGTCACTTTGCCAGTAGTCATTGAACCGAAAAGACAAAGCTCACATTGTCATATACGGAAAACGAATTGAATACTCCTCATATTTCGAAAACTTTATTATGGAAAATTCCTCCGAGGATAAAATTCGTTCACCATTGCACTAGTAGTGTCGCTTATGCGGAAGCTATGGTATCCTTTCAGATTTGCCTTTTCGATGCATCGAATAATAATCATCCATGTTTAATCGATGGTGACGAATTAACAAAACATCGAATGAATCGATACTGTACATCAAGTGTTTTTAATACATCGATCTAGGAAGTCGAAAGTGGTGCCTAAGATGGGGAGATGACAGCATAAGACAGCGTCATGACGTTTGCCGCCACGGTACGCACGAGTATACTAGTCGGTTATTACCAAGGCGCGCCAATTAGAACTTTCACATAAAATATGTATAAATAACTCCCTCTTCCGGCCTCTTCCCCCCGAACCTCTGAGGAGTTCAGACGTATTAAATATACCACTATACTATTTTGATTTAATTTTATAAATAAAAACTAATTTACAAAATAAATCAAGCCAAAATAATAGGAGTGCATAACTGTGAGATCTCTATGCTAGCTGCACCGTCCTTGTCTTGTTTGGTGTGTCATCAACCGAAACATCAACGCCCTGTACCTTGCTGTTGCCGCCTCCAGGGGTGTTACGATTGATCTTCCAATTACGGAGGAGCGCATCAAACAAAACTGTAAGCGCATTCATTACTATTTGCCCAAGTAAAGAGGTCAAGGTATACTGGACAATATACAACACAAGGTATATTTGTATGAAAACCTCGATTACTGCCAGAATTCATTGACCCCCGGTCTTCTAGTGCTAATTAGTTTGAGCTCATTATTTACACGCGTCAACGTTAACTGTTTGTTCTCTCTGATATCTTGCTACACGATGCCGCTAAAGAAAACTCCACCTCAAACACCTGTTAATAAGAATACGCACTCTGAGTCAACGCAGTTGCCGCCTTCTCTAGCGGAGAATGTACCTCCTAGCAGTTCTAAAAACTTAGTAGAAACAGACATTATTTTAAACAAATCTGTATCTGAAACGGATATATCCCGTTCTACACCGCCAAACTTCATTTCTCAACGTAATAAGACATGCAGAGTCCAGATGGAAGTTTCGATAGCCGAACGGATGGATGACTTTAAAGAGGAAATTCGAAAACTAATGACATCCTTTTTTGCCTCGCAATCTGCAGGCTGCTTAAAGAAATAAAGCAGTTTAATTACAATATTGAAAACTCGATTTCTTATCTTACTACTCAAAATGAGGAACTTTGGCAGAGGATTAACCAACTGTAAACTGAAGCAAAGCAGGACAGGATCCACATTACTATACTAGAATCAAAATTAGAAGAATTGCATACAGAGAGTAGAAAATCTAGTCTTGAAATTAAAAATGTCCCGAAAAAGCCCAATGAAAATAAAGAAGACCTTATCGAGATGGTTGTTAACCTGTCGAAGACAGTTGATTGTAACATCTCTGTATCAGATATCAAAGACATATACAGAGTGAGGCCAAAATTAACTGACAAAAAAACTCACCTATTGTAGTTGAAACGAACTCAACTATATTAAAGACCAAAATATTAAAATCTGCAAAATCCTTTAATTTCAAGCATAAAAGTAAGCTGTGTGCTAAACATCTTGGATTTAAAATTCAAGAAGACACCCCCATATACTTGTCAGAACACCTAACCCCAAAAAGGAGCACGCCTACACTTTCTAGCACGAGATTTAGCCAAATCAAAACAATACAAGATCTGTTGGACTGCCTACGGCGAGGTATATGTAAGAGAAAATGAACACTCTCGTATTATTATGATTAAAAATGAGAGTCAAATACAGCAACTATTGACGGGTCAATCTCCAGCGCTACCTGCCATCTGACTACCTGAAACCTTATCTCTCAACCAAGGTACACCGATTGTAATGTTTCTTACGATGTCGTTTTTATTCGCTCTTTTTTATTTATTAACGATATTTAATTTAAAATGTTTATTATACCATTCGTCTCTGTTACGGTTATTGATTTTACTTATGTTCAAGATTTATAATATTGTTATTTTTGTATTCTTACAATCCTACACACATATATCTCAGCAAAAAACAATCACATATAAACTCACACGAATAATTTCTCTACGTAAATCACTTTTAAAATACACAAGAAAACTACTTGCTAGCATTTATTTAAAAAAACTAATACTAAATCGAACGACATGCACTTCTTTTAACTTCTTTGATGATAGGTGATTAACTATACAACTTGAACGTGATAGACAGTATTGAAATTGATAGTGCTATAGAATGCGATTGTGATGAGCTATCATCGTACATGACATTTAAAAAAATTACCTTACAATTATATCCCAAAATATACCTAGTATTTACTGTAACTTTGATGATTTTCTGGTAACACTATCTAGTCTACCTTTTATACCTGATATTTTAGTACTAACTGAATGTAGGCTGACGAGCAAATCTATTCCACTACTAGATAATTATAAGACTTACCAACATTCCAGTTGAACCAAAATGATGGGGTGGTGGTCTTCATTAAAAAATCTCTTCAACATAAAGTTAAAGAAGTCAGACTTACTCATGCTTCCTGTCTACAGCTGGATACGCTTAATAATACTATACTTTGTATTTACCGCTCTCCTTAAAATGTAAATTCTGATGCATTCGTAGACTAACTTTGCACTCATCTTGACTCCTTAACTACCCAGAATAATATAATAATTACGGGTGACATCAATATAAACATTGCCCCCAAATCTGATGAGCCTCCTTCTGAATACAATAATAGAACAAACTATTTGAATGCACTTTCTGGTTATGGTATACTTGCTGGTCATAAGTTGCCTACTTGAGGAAAAAACTGTCTTGATCATTTTATGCTTAAGTATAACAAAAAAAAATTCTGTATTTATTGCTGTTTTGCATACTACAATCACCGATCATTTTACTATACTGCTTTCTCTTTCTAAGTCTACAGCCAAATGCCCAATAACTAGAACAAAAAATAATATAGATTATTCACAAGCCATTAGAGACCTTCAAAAATTAAAATTTACTGACCTACTATTTTGTACCGACCCTAACACAATAACAAATCGTCAAATAACTGACCTTAGTGAGTCTATAAAAGCTAACACCACACACTCAAATATTCCAAAAAGTCAACGTGTAATAAACCTTCACTCCAGGCATCTTACGTTCTATAAAAAATCGTAATAAGTTACAACAAAAACTACGAAAAGAGAGCCAAAACGATATATTAAAAGTAACGTACATTCGATACAGGAACTACTGCAATAATGTCATCAAAAAACTTAAACGTAAATATGAAAGGGATCTTTTTCTAAATCTGTAGATAATAATAAACTTTTGTGGAAAAATATAAAATACATTACTTACAGTTGCAAATCGCATGACGATAATAAAGAGCTAATACATATTAAAACTAATCCTAACGATTCAGCGAATTTCATTAATGCTTACTTCACAAATGTAGGAAAAATTCGAGTACTAGCATCTAGTATACAACCTAGTGCCTCTCCAAGATATAATAATTTTACTAAAAGTAATTCAACCCAAATTAACTCGTTCTTTCTGTTAGAAACTGACGAAAAAGAAGAAAAAAATACCCTCATGAATCTAAGATCTAGTAGCGCTCCGGTCTGGGACTGTATTTCTATTACCTTTCTGAAATTTGCAAAGAAAGAACTCGTACCCATCATTACTCACCTTGTAAATCTCTGCTTTCAGCAAGGTATATTCCCAAATCCATTTAAAAAAATCTTTAATTACTCCAGTGTACAAGAATGGAGATCGAGGTGATGTTGGTAATTACTGGCCAATTTCAATTCTCCCTGCAACTGAAACTTACGAATACTAGACTCCTAAATTATCTTAACAAATATAAACTTCTGTCTTCTACGCAATTTGGCTTCAGGCAAGGTAAATCCACAGAGGACGTAGTAGCTGCACTAATTCAAATTACAACTGAACACTTGGACAAGGAAAATAAATACTTGTTAGTGTTCCTGGACCTCAAAAAGCCTTCGACACAGTTTCTATCCCTATTCTTGTAAATAAACTGGAAAGATTTGGTATAAGAGCCAATGCACTGTCTCTTTTTAAGAGTTATCTCTCGGATCGAACTCAAAGAGTAAAGCTCAATACATTCATGAGTGATGACGTCACGGTATCACACGGCGTGCCGCAGGGTAGTGTATTAGACCCCACACTTTTTCTTGTCTATATAAACGATCTTTGTTGTCTGCAAATCGATAAGGCCCATATTCTCTCCTACGCCGACGATACTGTTATATTTTTCACTGGAAGAGATTGGAATGATGTTAAGGAAAAAGCGGAGTTAGGTATGAGTTTAGTTGCTGGCTGGTTAAAGGATAATCTTCTTACCTTAAATACAGACAAGACGAACTTTATTTGTTACAGTATCCGTGACCAATCATAACCTAATCTTGATTTTAAAATCAAAATACATTCCTGCAATTCCTATCCCAGATTGGCTAACTGTGTTTATCCCGTTATTAAGAAATCGAGAAATCCTGGCATCCACATCTTGAACAAGTAACAGACAAGGTTAGGAAACTGATCTGGATATTAAAGACATGTGGTGCCGGGTGAGAAATCAGGTAGCCAGTACTCTCATAGTAATATACTCAAGGAGATCTATATGGCGTTAGCAGAGTCCCTACTAACATACTGCATCCCAATCTGGGGAGGGACGGGTAAAACCAAAATGTTGGAGGTGGAACGTGCACAACGTGCTCTTTTGAAAGTAATGCACTTCAAAAAAAGGAGGTTTCCAACTGATGAACTTTACTCCATCAGTAAAGTCTTATCAGTGAGAAAGCTATATGTTCTGCTCACTGTATTAAAAAAACATAAAACCTTAACCTACGATGACAGCATCAAACAAAAAAGAAGAAAAGCTGTCGTTTCATTAAATAAATCTAAAACTGCATTTGCTAGTAAACAATACTCAAGCCGCTCCGTTTTACTATATAACAAATTAAACAAAGAACTAGAGATTTACAGCAAAACAAATAAGGAATGTATGAAATTGATTACCAATTTTTATCTCCCTTAAATTATGAGGAAACAGAGACATTATTACAATACAGATACTAAATGAACATATACATATACATACACCCATACTCACACAATACTCATACAACATGCACCACTTTATTATTTACTTTAGGATATTTTATTTCGTTAATAATATTGTAATTATTAGCTATGGAAGAGCGAAGTCACCTGTTACAGGCATTTTTTTTTTGCTTACTAGGTGACTTCGATCACTGATCATATAATGTAACATTAATGTTTGACGAAATAAATAATTTATTATTTATTTAAATAAATACATGAATAAACATAAAGCAAAATAAAAAATAAGTATACGAACAAATACAATAAAATTATGCAGATTATTTTTATAAGTTTAAATGAGTCAAATTAGCAAACTTTCTGCCTGATTGTAGATGCTTGATGCAGCTCTTACTTTTGCAACCATCTCTGCAAATGCAACCAGGAATTGTAGTAGCTTTCTTTCCCTTTGAATCGGAACCCAAAACGATGCAGCTTTGAATTAGGTAGGTAGTAGGTAGATTATATTACCTATGCAAGCGAACTATTTATAAGGAAAATAATACAAAGATT